GTGTTTTAGTGTGTGTGTTAGTGTGTGTGTTTATGTGTGTGTGTTTTAGTGTGTGTGTGTGTGTGTGTGTGTGCATGTGTGTTTTAGTGTGTGCGTTAGTGTGTGTGTGTGTGTGTGTGTGTGTGTGTGAGTGTGTGTGTGCGTGTGTGTGTGTGTGCTAGTGCGTGTGTGTATGTACTGCGTAGATACATATATGTATGAATGTGTATACCTGAGCACACACATACACACGCGCACGCCCACCATAGACTACACAGCGAAAAAAAAAAACCTACGGCATCTCCTGCGGAACAAAAGACGATCATGATATCCAGGAACATTTCATGGCTCGTGCGTGCTACTACGGCTGAACGCCAGATATTTTATAACCATTCATGAAGTAGTAGGATTATTAAACATTAAATATGATAGAGCTAGTAAAAAAAAACTGACTTCATTTTTAAAGACCTGAAAGACCGTATTAATGTTTTTTTCTTTATTTATTTATCTTCATTAGTTTTCGTCTTATATGAATGATGCATCAGGTCAGTTTTCTGTGCGATGGCGTTCGAGGTGACGCTTGTCGGTATTTATTTGCCTATACATTTACCTGCCTGGGTAAGAATGCTCATATTCTATAGAGATTTTCTAGCAGCAATTCTACTGGATTTATATATATATATATATGTGTGTGTGTGTGTGTGTGTGTGTGTGTGTGTGTGTGTGTGTGTGTGTGTGTGTGTGTGTGTATGTGTGTATACATATGTATATACATACGTATATGTATATATTTATATGCATATGTATATATGAATATGTATATATATATATATATATATATATATATATATATATATATATATATATATATATATATATATGTATATATGTATATATATATATATATATATATATATATATATATATATATATATATGTATATACATATGTATATGTATAGAGAGAGAGAGGGGGGGGGACTTACTCAAGACCGTGTAATTAGGGAGAGATCATGAAATATCCCTGATAATATGCATATTTATAGAAGTTAAAACAAACATTACTAATTCATAGTGGTAAATATACACCACCTTGATATGAGGTTGATGTGAGAAAAGTATAACAAAAAAATAATAATAAATCTATGGGTTTTGACTTAATTTTTTTTCTTTTCTTTTTTTGAATATTGGGTGAGCGCACTCGATCAATAATGAGCCATGGCCATTAAGGAAATTAATTTTATGGGAGTATATTTATCACCCATGTCTGGTAATAACCCTCTTGTAACTATAGAATCACAATACGCACGTGTCTATAGTATTTTCTATAGTATTCTGCAATTTCGCTCGTGTTACGTAGTATTCTGTAATTGGTAATACGTTTATTTCTACAAGACATACGTTCTTGTGGTATTTTCTGTCTGGTATAACTACAATACGTGTCAATATTTCATATCAACTGCAATTCACATGTATTTGTAGTAATTTTTATACGATATTACCTTTAAAACCACAAAGCACGTTTCTATGGTAATTTCAGTCTAGTTTTACCCTTCTGATACCTTTATGACAACAATGTACACTTGTCTATTGCATTTTTCTATCAATCTTATCCCAGTGTCACTATACACCCAATCCTGATTTAGGCATCAGTCCCGTGTCCCACTGATTCATTTAAGGATTTCTAAATTCCCAGAAAAAAGACGCAACGGTATTTACCTAAGGAAATATTTATTACTATGTGTTTTATCTTATTACATGAAGTCGACATGTTCTATGTATGTTCTATGTAAGAGACATTATTACTGGGTCATTGGCTGGTCATATCCGGTCCCGAATAATCTGCATACTATGAACCGCTAGGATCAGTACATTGCTAATTACATTGCGTACACTGCTAAGTATATTAAGTTCTATCAGTTAACAGTATATTCCAGATTACATAAAGTATATTAAGTTGTTGTTAGTAGATTAAGTTCTAAGCTAGTAACGGTACATAATTACAAACATTAAGAACAGTTTATTGTTAAGTATATTCTAGTTCTTTGATATACTACTGTCATTATTCTCCAGACTCCTAAATTTTAAGTTCTTCCTGTAACAGTACATCCCTCTTTTCAGGACTCCCTAAGTTTTAAGTTCTTCCTAGACTCCCAAATTCCAAGTTCTTGCCATACCAGATCATCACGCCCACTCTCTTCCAGACTCCTAAGTTCTAAGTTCATCCATACATCACGCCCACTCCTTTCAGCATTCCCACTTTCCAAACTCTTCCTGTAACACAACACCACTTCTGCTTTCTTTCAGATCTAAGTTCTAAGTTCTTGTCATAACGTTACATCCCACCCCTCTGTTCTAGATTTTCTAAGTTCCAAGTTCTTCTTAGACTCCCAAGTTCCTAGTTCCATCCCAAGCTTCTTCTTCCAGATTTAAATTTTATAACAGCCCACTCTTTAAGGAATTCCATAAGTGTTAAGTCCATCAGTCCATCGTGCCCACTCTTTTACTAGATCCAAGTTTTAAGTGCATTCTTACTCCCCCCCCCTCCCCGTTCTCTTCCAGATCCAAGTTTCAAGTTCATTCTTAGAACCCCCCCCCCCCCGCGCCAACCTTTGTTCCAGATCCAAGTTCTAAGTCCTTGTCCTAACAGTACATCACGCCCGCCCTTTTCCAGATCCATATTCCAAATTCACTAATAACCCCCCCCCCCTCCCTCTCTTCCAGATCGAATTTCCAAATTCACTAATAACCCCCCCCCCCCACTCCCTCTCTTCCATATCCATATTCCAAATTCACTAATAACCCACCCCCCTCCCCCTCCGTCTCTTCCAGAGCCAAATTCCAAATTCACTAATACACCCCCCCCCTTCCCTCTCTTCCAGATCCAAATTCCAAATTCACTAATCCCCCCTCCCCCTCCCTCCTTCTCTTCCAGATCCATATTCCAAATTCACTAATCCCCCCCCCCCCTCCCTCCGTCTCTTCCAGAGCCAAGTTCGAGTCATCGACGCATCGGCTGACTCGAAGTCTGAGCGACAGCAGCATTCCGCAGATCGAGATCCTGGACCGCCAGCATGACCGCGAGGGCCCCGTCCGCCGCGCCAACAGCTTTGATATCACTGAATACTATCCTCATCGCTGGTACTATGCGAGGATGGCGAGACGTGAGTGAGATTCTTCGAGGGAGGGAGGGAAGGAGGGTAGGGAGGGAAGGAGGGAGGGAAGGGAAGGGAGAGGGGGAGTAAGGGCAGCATTTTCTTTTTTTTTTTTCGTTTGGTTTTCGTTGGTTTGGTTCCGTCTCTTTTTCTTCTCTCTTTCTTTTTCTTTCTCTGTCATTTTCTCTCTTTCTATTTTTCTTTCTCTTATTTTGTTTTGTTTTTCTCTCTTTCTATTTCTCTCTTTCTTCTTTGTTTTTTGTTCTGTTTCTTTCTTTCCTGTCCCTCTTCGGTTGTTGGTGTTGGGATAGTGTGTGTTTTTTTCAGTGTTTTATTATCATTATCATTATTATTATTATTATTTGTGTAAAATTAATGATTGGGATCTTCGTGTATTTCAGGTGATATTTTTTCTTATTTTTTCTAAATTTTCTCTTCCATGCGAGTGATTTCACTGAAAGCCATGTAAATAATCGGACTGTAGAAGCTTTTTTTCCTTGGCTAATGCTATTACTTTTTTCTTAACCACACTCCAAAATTTACTTACTAATTAGCCTCAATCTGTATATCAACTCCTTAGTGCTCTGCCTTGCTTGCAATTAGACCTGAGCCAAAACAAAAACCCAAAAACTCATCTGGGTGAATTCATCCAGATATTTTTTTTCCCTTTTTCCTTCAATTCCTTCCTCACTCTAAACCCTTTTCCCCGCGTCTTGTTCAGCCCCTTCAGGAGAGGAAGCCCAGGACGCTGCAGGGGAGGAAACCGATGACAGTAAGACGCTGCGTGTTCCTCCCTCACTCTCTAGTCTAGGCTGTGTTTCCCCCTCCCTTTTGCTCGCTCGTGGTACCTGTGGTGGCTGTGCTGAAGGTCTATATAAGTACTTATATAGACCTTGGCTGTCCTCACCCCGCCCGCCTCAGCCAAGGGTGCTGTGGACTCTCTCCCGTCCTCTTGTCCTCCACACGTCACACTTACGGTGGCTGTGTACACGTCCTTACACTTCCTAGTATTACGTCTGGTTATGTACACCTCCCTGTCCTCACTAGCTATTAGCTAAATGAATGTAAACGTTACCTATGACCTCATCTGACCCTTGCTTGTAGAATGTCCGCACGTTTCCCTCACTAGGCTCTGTATACAACACTTCCCAACCCTCAATGGCCAGATACTTTTAGAATGTGTGCACTGACATAGCCTGCCCATAGCTCTAATGCTCGTAGTTCGTGTTCCGAGTATGGTCTTCGCCATTCGCTTGTTGGAAATGTAACCAGGTTTACCTTGTTACCACGTTTTCCTTTTCGATCCCTGGCCTTGGAATGTATAAAAACACGAATGGCGTATCTGTCCACAAGCAAAATCCTGGGAAATTTATTTGAAACAGAAAAAAAATATGTATATTCAAAGGAATCAGATTTAAACATCCTGCAAATTATCGATTCTAACAACCACCCACTGATGCGATTAATTTCGTTGGTGTTCTTGCAGTACACCAGCCTGTATACATCCTAAGGACGGTGGCGAAGGTGAATTTATGAATGAGTGATGATGGAGACGACGCTATCCCATAATGTGACTGTTTATGAAAATAGATAAGATTTAGACACTATTCCAAAGCCTCGAAGTACAAAAAATCGCAAATGACCAGTGACGAATCATTCTAATGGGCAAAAGTAACATTAAAAAAAAAATGGATCAAGATACCTTAAGAATCATCAGTGCAATTACTGTATATTTAAGAATTACATACCAATTAGCTGAATCTGCAAAATACACCATGGCACAGGGAATTTGTGTTTAGATATTTTGAGAAAAAAACGCGGGTATGACTAAGAAAATTCAAATAATCACCCTGGTCAAATTCATCCGGAAAATCTGAACAAATCAATGCCACATCCTCTTTCACTCTCATCATAACTATCATACAACTTTCTCCTTTAATTAATGTCTATACTTTCTCTATATTCTGTTAATCTCACCGCCACGCACTGCAACCTGTACCGAATAGCCAGTGTTTGGGCAAATATAACACTTAATGGCTCATGTAGATTAAGCCCAGCCTTTTATTTGTGTCTTTTTAACCACCTTTACGCACCAACCATCATCACTTTGCATTTATTCTGATTTATATTTTCATTATCACATTAATACTACCCTTATTTCCTACTGTTTCCATCCATACGTGTTGTGTTATCAATCACTACGCATGGTAACACACCTTGAAGTGTTGTGTGTTGCACAATTGCGTAACCCATTACAGGTCTCGCCATTGATTAGCTGTGATCGATACCTGCCTCATGAATCAAGTCACGTTTACAACCCGTTTCCCCTCTGACCGGTTAATACGATACCACCCACATGCCGTGTTATCTTTTGGAGGCTTGTGATCTTGGACAACTGCCACGTGACTATCCTCTCCCCGCGGTTTAGATAATAAGAAGTTTGAGGAATTTTGTTTGGGATAGATTGTAGCAGACATCAACCAGGAAAGCACGAGCGCGAAAAGAAAAGTAAAGTAAACAAAAAGAAGGAAAAAAACACGAAAGGCCTAACGCATGTATCGAAAAAGGAAGAACGGGGGGATGGGGGGGGAGAGAAGGGGGAGAAGGAAACAAAGAAAAAGAATTTAAAAAAGGCGGACGGGAGCTCGGGGAAGCCAAAAGAGATTGATCGAGTGAAATAATAATTCAAAAAAAAAAAAAAAAAAGCCCGAGCGTGTTAGCAGCGGGGGTCGTCGCGTTCAATTATTTCTTTACGGTTATATTTAAGTTTTCCTGCAAATATCATTGCCGTAATGCCTTCGAAAGCACGTGACAAGCGATGTTGCCAGCGGGAGTTAGAGCTCCGTCTCCGTTCGAACTCTTGGCGTTGAATGTAAATATTTGAGACAATTTGTTATTACCTTCCATGCGATGCAATCAAGGAAGAGAGGGAGTGATGGGGCGGGGGGCGGGGGGGGGGCTGTTCGATATTCAGTCCATTTATTACTCGAACTGGAGACAAACGAGACAAAAGAAGGTAAACAATAAACGTCTTAAATGACATACAAGATTTTCTCTTCAAAACAGGAAGAAAAATGGGGAGACGTTAATTTCAACTCGAGTTCACAGACACTAATTGTATTTCTTTTTTCTTTATCCACCTTATAAAACAAAATCAAACTGGTTTAGGTGAAAATAAACGTTACAAAGATCGTTAAGGTGAATCACAACAGACTATCCAGAAGCCTCCATCTCTCCTTTCGTGTAACATAAACTAAGAAATGTATCACCACCTCGGGCAATAAACCGAGGAACAGGCAAAGGACGAGAGGAAATGACGAACGAGAAACGAGAAGGACAAAAAAAGGGTGATAATGTAAGCGGAAGACAAGAAGAAATGAAGGACAAGCGAGATGGAAAAGGGAAAAGGGTTAGGAAGAGACAAGATGACGAAGAAGAAGAGAGGGAGAAAAAAAAGAGTGAAAATATATGCGAAAAGGAGGCTAAGAAGAGACAAAGAAAAAATAACGAAGGAGAGAACAAGGGAAGAAAAAATAAAGAAGGAGAGAAAAAGGGAGGAAAAAAATAGCGAAAAAAAGGCTAGCAACAGACAAGACGAAATGACGAACGAGAAGCGAGAAAGCGAGAGCGAAAAAAAAGACGAAAATATGAGCTGAAAGAAGGATTAGAGAAAGGAGGAAAAAGACAGAGACCGGCGTCATGAGGAAGCCCTTTTTTATCGCCCGCGTCATGCAAGGGTACGAACGAATGTCAACACGAATTTAGAATTTTGAAAATTGAAATGTATTCGACGCGTCTTCTTCCTCATAAATGAAATGACTAATCTGCTCCTAATTCAAGGATTTGGAATCGACTTGCAGTTAAGCTTATGAGATTCGATTCCTTGAAGAGAGGTGCATGTGATTATAAATCCGTAGAATTCTTTCATCTGCCTTTATTTCTAGGATTAGAAACCAACTTCAACTAAGATTAAAAGATTCGATTCCTGAAAATAGGCGTTTCATGCGTTGATAAATTCCATAGAATCTTTTCAAAGACTTTAACTGCCCCCCCCCCCTTCCAAAAAGAAGGAATTTTCCATGTTGCTTAACTACATAAAAAGCATAATCATCCTTATTATTTTTATCTGCATAGCTATGTTCTCCCCCCCCCCATTCTGCGCAAATAAAAAGACCGGTGCTTAGTCACGACAAAGTCACCCAGTTGTCATTTCTTATATTATTTCGGTGAAAATAAAGTTATATAATAAACTTAAGTGTAGATTATTTTTTTGTAATTTTTCTCTCTAATTATGACATAAAACGCTTAAATTGTCAAGGTACTGAATGCTGTGAAAAATGTGCCTGTTCACAAAACACGATGTATCTTTTATTAATCAAGCGGAAACCTTCTTTGCTTGCATTAATGTGGTATCATTCAAATAATTCCTATTTAAGAATTTTGTCAAAGAGCAGATGATGCAAGCCTTGGTACAGGTACTTTTAACATATAATCTGAAATATTATTCGATGAGTTTAAAGCACCCATGGAAGTCCACAACATATCTTTATATCAAATTTGCTTTCATTAATTCAATATAGAATAATCAATCTTATAAAATTCTTATTAATAATGAACATTCGGTAACGAGCCAATGCGATTTCAGATCAGCATTTTAGATCCATTTAATTTTCTTTTCTCAATAACAGCCTCATTTGACACACACATAGAACTTAGTCTCTATATATAAATGGCGAAATGTGTACATAAAGAAAGACAAAAGTTCGTCCTCAGCTTAAAAGTAAATGAGATTAAGAAAAAGTTTCAAAGACGTACAAATATAATTCATCTTTTCACAGTTGGCCATGACGTTAGCTCGCATCAGTCTTAAATATGTATCCCCTTTAAACATATTTAGGATATCTTTTCTGCGCATCTTTTCTTATTTCTGTAACGAGGCGACGTTTGCTTTATTTAAAAGAAATTGTAGATTTGAGAGTGAGAATCTGATACTCGAAGTGGACGAAGTGAACCTTGGACCGCGGGTAGGATTCGAAGCCGCTCGAGAGATACGAACTTAAAATATCTTTTCCGATTTATTTTTTATTATCCATTTACTAATGCGTCGATGAAGAGTTACCTGAACAGTATATTGTATGATAACAACAATAAAAAAATTCCATCTCGTTTATACTATCATCGAAACAAATATGGGATGACAAACTACAGATGTTGTTTGTAACAGAGTATTGTATCATATAATAAAGTCTATTCGGTAGTCATAAATAGCCTCGTCTTATAAATAGCTAGACAATGAACGAATCACAGTAGAACAGTATAATATAAAATGGTAGTTAATCACTGTTAATTTTTTTTCTTGTAGTGGTCTGAATTCAAATTCTTGTAGGCCTAATTCATGATACTAGTGTAGCCATTTTAGCCATTTTGCATTCATAAACAAGTAGTAACTTTAATATTCTATACAAGTAGTGTTCATTTCAGCTTATTCAGGTAGTAGTGCCATTTATTCCTTTATTTTAGCATCGCTGTATAGCCATTATTTCAACAATCTTTTTCAGGCCTAATCGGAACCAATTTTACCTTCCAGAAACCGTTTTATTTGCATTGCAGGGTATGAACTTTTTACTATCTATAGACCCACATATTGATTTGAGTGGGCCTACACAAATAAAGTTTTTTTTAGAAGTCAATTAGAACTCTTTACTGAATTTTCCATTGCTGGCTTTCAGTTGTCTGTAAAGAATATTTCCATCAGTCACGGATCATGAATAATATAGAATATAGGTCTTGCAACTACTACATTCTCATCCTTGTTCAATCTAAGTGCAATATCCTATCTGAAGAATCCACAGTGCCTAACATGGTAGAAAAAAACACAATGTAAAACTATCATTTCCAAAGCCCATTACTTCCATAATCGAACGCTGGCTCACCGCCCTCTTGCAGGAAAAGCTCGCATGGAAACCCTCAAAGCCGCGGAAAACCCCGGGCTAGACGACCTCCCTGACGGCGACGCCACCAAACCCAGCATAGAGATCCTGTCGCTGAACGGCGGGAGCGCAGAGGCGACGCTGGCGGGGCTGGAGGGCCACAACGTGAGCGGGCCCCTGGCGTCGCTGCAGGAGGGCGTCATCGGCGGAATCGAGGTCGACCCTGGTGAGATCGACAGCCAAACGGGCAAAATCCTCGCCTCTAGGCCAGACCACTTGACGCTCACGTACGAGATCGATGTCGCTGGTGGTGAGTCGCTCGGTGGCGGCGGTGCCCGGCGGGCGACGAAGGTAGGCGGGGAGGCGGGGCGTGGTAGAGGGGCTTGGGTTTCGGACGCTGAGGATGGCGGTCTCGAGGAGCTCGGCGATGACTCGGTCGAGAAGGAGAGTGACCCCGCCGAGGACGCGGACGGGAGAGGGGTCCACAGGAGAAAAGCGAAGGGGTCTAAACTGCAGAAGCGAAAGACGCAAGACAAAGGTAAATCTGCTGCTGAAGGCGGATTATTTTTCCCCCAGTCTCCTTCTAGTGCAAGACAGGATATGTGTTGTGTTTGCTTGCATTGTTTTGCATTGGTGAAAAACGGTTTGAGGCATTTCACGCCTGAACGAAAGGACACCTGTAGACGCTCACTTTGCTCCAGTGAATGGAATCTCTCCCTTTTTCAAGGTCTATAAACACTCCAAAACGAAAAGGAAATGCATATTATCTAATGAAACGCATGCACACTGTGTCAATCTCACTTTCCCTGATATTTACGAAACAAAGCAGAGTTGGAATCTGTTTTGAAGTTCAATAAATATCGAGGCAGACGTCAACAGGCATGGCAAACTATCATCCACACCGAGACTCACCACCAGACCTTGCATGAGAGTAATGTTCTACGTCCATCTTCTCTATTCTTCCAAATAAACGAATTAAGCACATGTTCTTTCCATCATTCAGAGTTGAAGCCAAAGCAAAAATTCAATAGGCCCATGATATTGCGTACAAAGTTACCATTGAGCTCAAGTTCTCTGACTGTAGGCTATCGGCGAATTTAGATATTTAAGATCAACTATTGAATGCACAAAAGTGAGAAAAAATCGATATGATAGGCTTTCACGATTTACAATAATTGGAAAAAAGACTTAGGCATGTCTCGGCAATAGAAAAATTTACCAATTCAGAATAAAACCGTTCTTGACCACTTTCAAGACTAAGTGAGTGTTTACAATCTTGAAATCTGATTTCATAAAAATGCTTATAGTATTGTGTCTTTACAAAATAATGTCATATCTTTCCTTTTTTATATAATCCTAGTATATTCTTGGCAGAAATAGTCGATTTTTTATTAGAGCGATGTTCAGTAGAGCTAGTGTGTGGCTAGTGACTAGTGAACCGCATTGTCCAAAGGATAGACGCATTAGATGTTGCCTTGTGTCTAAGTTCCATAAACCACAAGAGATCCAAATAAAGCTCAGTTATTTTCTTTCCTTATTTGTTGTTGCTTAACGTGACTTGTTGTTCTGAAGGAAGCGCTCAGCATGAAACCAAGCTTTTCGTTGCAATGTTATTAAAAAAAAAAATACTGTTATAGTTTGTAAATGCAGAATTCAACGTGTGGCCAAGAGACAGGTTTGTGGTTCTTAAATTCGCTGAAGCTACACCATCGCGATTGTATCAACCACCTCGTAAGTGAGTTACTTTACACATTTGACTTATGAAAAAATAACGCACAGAGGAAAAAGGTTACATAAATTACAGTCTATAAAACACTCCACCTTGCAATTTCAACTTGGCTGGATCTTAGCTGCTGTAGTCCACAGGGTACAAAACCTTACAGAAATCCGAAATGCTTTTAATGATCCTCCGACTCACTAATGCGTATTACCTCAGAGCAAACAGTCTCAAATCGCTTGGCGGAGATCCTGCAGGAGAAAGCGGAGGCGGAGGAAAAGAGAAGAGACCTGTTCCTGAAAGCCAGAGAACTTCACGAGGAGATACAGAGAGTCCGAGAAAAGGTAAAGTAGAAGGAAAGGCAGAATGAGAAGGTCTCACTGAAAGATAGGAATAAGGATAGGAAGGAATTACTGAAGAAGGTTATAGAGGTAAAGTGACTGGAGACCTCAGGTTTTATACTGGTAGAATAGTAAGCAAATTCCTCAAGTATTATAAGCAAAACTGATAAATCTTCGTTTATCATACTGTGTATGTAATAGCCACCTAAACAATACTGGCAAACACAAGCTCTTGTTTACTCTGCCTTTCTCCTGGCATTGTTTAATATCCCGCCATTACTTGTGTGATACCATTGACCAAGATGAATCCATGCCCAAATAAGGTAGATTATGGGCATTGTTGTTTTACTGTAAGACCCGTTCTCCAATGAAAAAAATCACTCTTTTCCAGAATATTCCAGGAACCTTTTCACAGTAGATTTATGCCAGGTCTTGTGTGGCTTAATTACAAATAGCAATGGAAATACTGCTAAAAATCTCTCTTCCCACGCTGGTCACACCTCCCCCCCACTCCTTTTAGCGGAGAGAAAAATGGTGGCAGCAGTTCTCGCACGAGCGGAAAGCAGGCACGCAGCTGGAGGAACGCCAAGGAGCTCTCAGAAGCGAACTGGACTCCCTCCATCGGCGAATCATCGGTTCCCTCGTCAAGAGACAACCTCTCGTCACAGGGGTCAGAGATGAACCCTCCAGAAAGGTTAGTGCTTGGATCTCTTCCGAACTGATGGTGTTTTATCTTTTTTATTTTTTTATTTTCTTATTTTTTTACTTGCATAGGGTAAATATATGGGATCACCTATTTTTTTCAAGTTTGTTTAGACGCATACCGTATCTTGTAGTTAAAACAGCAATATTAGATGCATTGTGTAAGACTTGTAAATTACTCCAGATCACATATGAACATGAAATATATAATAAAAAATAATATTTCGTCACGTTTTTTTATGTTATTTTTGATGATACTACTAATGAGTTGAGTAGAAAAATCAACATTTTGCTTGAATATCATCAATAATACACCAACATTCACCACTATTTGTATCACTAAAATCTCCCATTCTTTCAGGAAACCATCCCAGCCAAAACTCAGTGATAACATTATTATTAGGTATTAGTATTTGCGATAGACGGACGTGACTTTTTGCCAAAACAAATATCATTCTCCGACCTTTCTTTTCAGGCCAACTACAAGATATCCATCATAAGACTTCGTCACGAGATCGAGGACATTTCGAGACGCGTTGAGGCCATGAACATCAAAGTAGAAGCGGAGACAAAGGCATGCGTAACTGCTCTTTGTTTTTGCCATAACATTTAGACCATCTGATTTCAAAATAATAAAGTACGAGTCATAATCTCTCACTGCATTTGAGATCTGAACAGGTTTATTTCCCTTCCTTTCAGCTGAGAAGCCAAGCAGAGCGAGAGGTTAAAACTTTGAGGTCAGAAGTCAGCAGGAAAAAGGCTAACGTGGCTCTCTCGCAAACCAAAACGAATCTCCTGAAGACAGCCACCAGCCTGCCTCCTGACCTTATGATCCGCATGTATTAAGGTCAGAAGATCCTTGAATTCGTCGGCCTGAGAACTCCCTCACGCCTCCACACGGACCTTCAAGTCTTCGGATCCTCGTCGCCGTCGGAGCTGTGGTCTAAATCGTGTTGCATTTAGATTTTGCAGCTTATGCAGACAGATAGCGCGCTAGACATCTTTTTTTTGTAAATGCCCCCCACACCGCGATAAGCTGTGGATCTTATCGTGGGAGACTTTGTTTCCCCGGACTCTGGGGGACTTTTCCTCTGTATCTCCGTAATTTCGCTCAAAGGACTCCAAAAGCGGTGATGCGTTATACGTGTCGAAGTCCTCTGCCCCAAGATGGTGGTCGAGTAAATTCAATCAGCACTGAATGACTGATCTTGTACATATATAAGGACATTTTATATCGTAGCAGAACTTACTTCCAGCGACTAAGGGAAGAAATGAAAAAGAAGCATCAAGACATCAAAATTAATGTTTTGATTTTCAGTTCTCTTCGGTGGTTGTTATATCTTCATCTTCTAACCTGTACTTTGTTTTCCACACTAATTCAGAGTATATACAAAACAAATCACAAACATGTATAATATTAGCAATACATTTTTTATCATTATCCTTATTAAACATCCACTTTGAACACTTTAAACACGAATTTTTATATAGTTGTGGAGGGAAGGCCTTAAAACTGCAATAGGACATCCTTCCAAAAAGCGCACAAATTGTATAAATATACGATGTTCATTGTGGTTGAAATATAGATAGTTTATACAATAAATCATGTTATATATATTGTTCTAGAATTCTGTTTCTATATACGCAAAGTGAAGCACCTTGGTATATAGAAAGTGTTAACATGCCTAAAATATATTTCAAAGGACATAAAAAAGTAAATATTGAAAACGTGGAAATGCTGTTCCATGGTCTTTGTCCTTCAAGATATCTGATGTATATTTGTGTGTGAATATTTCGGAAGTCAGTTTGTACATAATAGAATAGACGTTAATTGTATCCGCTTTTTTTCCGGGTACTAACCACTGTGTACAAAATATACTGAGAGATGGGAATAAACATTCTCCTTAATACTGGCTGTATAAAATAAAATAAAAAATCTTTATCCTTACTTTGATCATGTATCCTTTAGGTTTTTCTTTATGATTTATTGATATTTTATTGCTATGGAGTCCCCGAAAATTTCATTCTCATCCAATCAACTTTATGGCATCTATGTGAACCCTTTAACCCCTTGGTGCCGGGTATGACGTGTACGTACGTGCTATGCCCACAGTGAGTACTTGTTTGATTGTTTTTACGCATAGATGGCAACACTTGTACTAACTCCCCAATGAGCCAGTTACGAGCACCGCCCGTCTCGCCCGTTTACTCGTTTCTTTGATTTACAAAATATTTTGTGTAATCTTATTTTGCTGTTACTAAAGTTAAAAAAAACATTATAAAAATTATGATGTTTATGATAAAAATAATACCATCGATTTTCATAGCACTAATAAAAAATACGTTTTTCCCGCCATTTAAATCAGGCGCTAGCAGAGCCATCTATCGGCAGACATTTCACGAAAAACATAGAAAGTGGACACAATATTTTCCCCATTTTTTGTTCATTTTCCCCAGCACCATTGGGTTAACTATGGCAGGACTTGGTCTCCTAATTTCCTAATTTCTGACACGGAAAGGATGCAAATAGGATCCACTGTATTTCGAAATACATAAATCCATTTGGTATCATTCTAAAGATCAAGTTGAAACACATTTTCCATCAGAGGAATTCGAGGATGCGGTCCGTTAACCAAATGAACAGTCTTTGTATTTAAAACTTTTATTTTTTACGAGTCCGCCTGTCAATAGTCTATATTTTCTGTAATTTTTTTTTTTTTTTTTACCGCGTGAACTATTCAAGATTTTCCAAAGCAAAGGCTTTTGAATTGCGTTCTTATGGGAGGACAAGGAGAAACTTATCTTTATCAGGTCAAGAAGAAGAAAAATTCTGTACAAGACGAAAAAACTTATTCTTATCTGTTCAAAAAGGGAAAAAAATCATTACAAGAAAAAAAAATTCTTATCAGTACAAGAAGAAAAAAAAACCTTATCGGTACAAGAAAAAAAAGATATTCTTATCAATACAAAAAAATATATTTTTATCAGAACAAGATAAAAATATACTCTTATCAGTAAACAGTTTAATGTATGTTTTTCTTTTACATGGTGAGGGCTTTAGGTCAACTGAATGACTGAATAGGTTCGAAAATTGAAGCTTATGATTTTTGAGTTTTAATGGTTTCTCAGTAGTATTTCACGAAAAAAAATACTATCATCGAATTGCGATTAAAATATGATCTACAGCTATACATTAAAAACAAACTAAACCAAAAGCAACAAATATAAAGATTGATAATTATAGAAATAGGATTGAAATATAGTTCTCGAGCATTATATATAAAAAAGTAATAATACTAATAAGTATAGATTCTGACAGTGTGTAAATATGAAAGTAGGAACATTATTAGAAATTAGTAATAGCCAAACTGTTATTATCATTATTCAGTCATTAACTTTGAAATTAAATCATAAACTGTGGAAATACCTAAAAACCTTAAAAGTTGATAAAACCGAGGTAAAAAAAACAACAACACAAATGTGGAAATTTCATTAAAAATCTGGAATGCCATAATAATAATATTGATAATAATAATAATAATAATAATGATAATAATAATAATAATAATAATAATAATAATAATAATAATAATAATTAGTATAATCATCATCATCATCATCATCATCATCATAACAATAATAATAATCATAATAATGATGATGATGATTATAAATAGAATAATAAAAATAATAGTAAAAAATAACAGAATAATAAAACAGCAAAATAAACATATAAATAAAACAACAAAATAAACATATAAATAAAACAATAAAATAAACATAAATAAAGCAACAAAATAAACATATAAATAAAACAACAAAATAAACATATAAATAAAACAACAAAATAAACATATAAATAAAGCAACAAACTATACATGTAAATAAAAAAAAACTAAAACAAAATAAGACTCAAAAGAAAACTACCAAAATATCTAAAATAGATAAATAAATAGACAGATAAATAAATAGATAAATACAAATCATAAAACATACATAATAACAGAAATATAGATAATAAAATAAGATAAACAAAATTAATAAAATAAGATAAACAAAATTAATAAAATAAGATAAACAAAATGAATAAAATAAGATAAACAAAATGAATAAAATAACAAAAAAATAGCAAAAATAACAAAAATAATAGCATAAATAACAAAATGATAGTATAAATAACAAAATAACCTTACAAATAACAAAATAATAGGAAAAATAACAAAAATAAATAAATAACAAAATAATAGACTAGACAAAAAAATATAAAAAATAACAAAAAAATAGCAAAAAAATAAAAAAAATAAAAAAAATAAGCCCTTGCCCCGGCACCAGTATAAGTAACAGAATAATATAATAGATAAACAAAAATAAATCAATAACAAAATGACAGACTAAATAAATAAAAATAAAGCAAAAAAAATAATAAGCCCTTGCCCCAGCACCAGTATAAGTAACAGAATAATAGAATAAAAAAAAAACAAAAATAAATTAATGACAAAATAACAGACTAAATAAATAGAAATAAAGCAACAAAACAGCAAAGGAATAAAACAAATAAGCCCTTGCCCCCGCACCCTCTAGCGGCGGCCGGCGGAGGCTCGGCGTCGTCTGCTCAACAACAATAATAATAATAAAGGAATAGAATAGATAAATAGAGATAAATAATAAAAACTAAAAACTAAATAAAGATTAATAATTGAAAGACAAAAATATATATATATATATATATAAATAACAAAAATAAATAAAACAAAAATAATCCCTTGCCCCCGCACCCTCTACGGCGGCCGGCGTCGTCTGCTCCACAACAACAACATGGCTCTTCGCGTGGGCTCGGCGGCGCTGGCCAGGAGGCTCTTCTTCGGCGCCTCGCTCAGACTCTCCTCCAGGGCTTCGTCAGCTCTGGCGGGTTCGAGAAGTAGGTTTGATATATGTAAGAGTCGGGGATATTCACGTTGTTGTTAAGGAGGGGCGGGGGGGGAAATGAAGGTGTGGGCGGACGGGCGGGTGTGTGGGTGTTCCGGCTTGTTTGTTTGTTTTTATTGTTTTTGTTGTTGTTGTTGTTTGTCTTCTTTTGTTGTTGGATTTCAGGAGGTGTTGGGGGGTTATGTCAGACGCATTAAGTGAAGTTACAAGAGTGTTTAATAGTTCTTGTTATGTAAGTGTTGAATTATGTAACTGGCAAGAAAGTTTCCGAAATTAGCTAATAAAGAAAGAGAAGAATTTTGAGATATTTAGTGTAGTTTGTCGTGACAGCAAGAGATGCATTAATGACAGCAGTAAAATAAAGAGAATATCCTGCCTTTGAGTTGATTAAATATATAGGCTGTGGCTACATTTACGGTAACATAATGTGATATCTCTAAACTTTTTCTGGGAATTCTGATCACACGTGCACAGTGTGGAATTCTTGAACATTGCTGTAATCACCGTTGCCATATTGCAACCCCCTCCCAGGAAAACAAAGAATCCTCAACATATGCACAGCAGGAGAGAGTGTCAGACAGGCTTGGCATTGAGTACATGGTCGTGCTCTCTGCGGCTCTACACTGCTGTGGGTAGAGCGAGAATTCCACACTGTGCACGTGTGACCCAAACTACTGTAAAATTAGTCAGTTATTGTTACTGAGAGCGATGCACAGAGATAGAGGAAAAAGGACACTACCGTCTAGGTATGTGACCAAAAATTTCAAACACTGCAAATGGCTATTTTGAGAAAACATTAAGGTAGACGTGGAAAAGACCTTCAAAATACCACCTAGATCATAGGAATAGGTTCAATATTAAGGAAGTTATGGACATTTAAAGATTAGTAATTGGGACCCATTTGTTCCTATCAATTAACA